CAGGGTTTGAATCCGACCTGCGGCCCTTTGCTGCGTGTCATCCCCTCTCTCTGCCCCCCTTTGCTGTCTCTCTCCAGCTGTCACTATCATAAAGGCAATAAAAGCCCAAAAAATACTTTTAAAAAAAAGAAGAAAGGGAGAAAGCAAATTCAAACGGATCTTAAACTGCCACCTCACAATACTAAGAGCATTTAGGTTGTGTACAACTCCACTTCTGCTTGATACACAGCACATAATCTGGGAGCAAATTAAGGAGCAAATAGGTTGTATTTAGTCTCTTAATTAATCTGAGGTGTGTTTTTGGCGTAACATGAATTAAACTAATCAGAGTGTCATCTCTCATACCTTTTAAAGGATAGTTGCGCTTTCACCTGGCATGTTGCTATTTAAACAGTGGATTCGGTTGTTGGAGAAGTGAGGAAACGGAGCTGCTTGTGCACTTATCCCTCCAGGCTGTAACAGACATCTGTAATCTCCTGTCAGATGATTTGGAGACTAATGCCAGCTGTCCCTATACACTCATACCTCCAACAGACCTCAGACTGGTCACTTGCAAAGTAAAGCAGCGCAGTAGTGTCTTTTGACAGCAGTGGGAACCCACCTATGTTGGCGAATCTTACAATCTGGATAATGCATTCTTTAAATAGCAGAAAAATATTGTGCCATTGATTTTAGACCAGGTTTTTGTTTGTCAGGGGCGAGATTGCTCTCTGCTGCCTAAAAATAGCACTGTGCCTACAATATGCTTGACCACACCTCATTTTAAGACCAACATCCACATGAGTGCACAGATGGGTGCAATACATTTGCAACAACACTGCGCTGTGTGCTGCTTTGACTGGGTGTATGATTGGGTCCTAAGAGTCTGCAACCATCCTAGAAGCTCTTATAATGCTCACAAGGGCTACTGATGCTTAGCAGGTATAATGTTTACAGTGTTTACCATCTTAGTTTTGCATGTTAGCATTCGCTGAACAGCACTGACCACAAACCACAGTTGAGGCTGATTTCATTAGTTTTTCTGGACAAATAAAAGTTTGACCTGATGATGGCTTTAGAATAAAAGTCAGGGATTACTTAAATTGTTATGATTGGCAATCCATCCAATAGTCGGTGAGATATTTCTGTCTGGAGTTAAGCAGTGGATCAACTGAGCCTCACTGCAATCCCTGGATAAAAACAAATCTGCATTGTTTCATATTTAATGTATG